GTGTTTGGGTTCCTAACAAGACCACTGATAGATATACTCCTTCCACACCATAAAAAATCAAACCATCAAACAAGCCCACCATCTCCAAAGGAAGAACTCAGCCTCCCTCTAATTTCAGTCGAGGATTCTGGTGGGCACCACGTTCTAAGGCGGAGAAGCAGTTTATCGATGCTGTTGGAGAGGCCTGCCCACACAATCCATTTCTATTGGAGGAAGTTTGATGATGCCTACATGCGTCCTATTTTTGGTGGGCCGGGATAAGCGCAAGGCAAAAGAAGAGAGAAGAAAACGCACAGGTAGTATCATAGTCGGTCGGAATATCTGCTCATATCACTGGTTCCTCTCTTTAGAAAGATATTTTCGACTTAGAGAGACATTGTTGATACGTGTGGTTTGAGTGTTTGAAGCCAATAATGAAGATAAGGACATGAGAACACTGTACATGTTTGATGGATGCATGCTGTTTTCCTTTTTTTGTTCTATTTGTTTTGTTCTTTATTTCTCCTCATGTATCATCTTTCTTTCTGAATGTAATGGAATTCCCTTTTTTCCCCTACGACATAAGACTTATATACTTTTATACTTACTATTATCAAAACCTCCACACTGTATGTCATGTCTCCACATTATTTTATTTTTAATCTTTCTTTTGAAATTATTTTGACACTAAATTTTGTACATCCAATCTTCTATTAAACTATATAAAAAATGTTTTTAATAAAATAAAATGATCAAAATACTTTTGAAAGTTTCAAGAGGTATTTTGGTCATTATATTTTATAAAAAATTTATTTTTAATATTTTTTATAGGTGTGTCCCAATGAGAAGATGGTATGTACCAAATTTCATATTCATACAACTTGTATAAAAAAATTAAAAATTAAATATTTGAAGACATTGGATTTAAGATCAAACGGTGAGTGAGTGGCTTTAATGAGAGGTTTTTTTACAGTTTTAAAATGGCATGCACCGTTTTCAGGTTATGAGGGAGGGGGGGGGGAATATCATGGGTGAATAATTTTATTTATGTCCAGTGAGCTATTGAAGAGGACAATGATGGTAATCATGATGATATTGTTGAGAAAAGTTTTTATTTACCCATGAGCCATGGATTTTGATACATTTTTTTCATGGGAAAATTCCATTCGCAACCCTAATTCTGCATTTCATGACATGATAGATTCTTTTGTTTTTTTACTTTCAAGCGGCAAAAGAAAATTCTTTCAAGCAGCATAAGAAAATTCTTAAGGATTTCAATGTGCCTTCCATCTCTTATCTCTTCGTTTTGTTTATTTTTGAATATACAAGTTAGTCTCAACAAATTATTTTATATCATTTTAACTCAAATTTTGTTTTTATCATATTTTAGCCTTTTTCAACATATCAGATCTCCCACTCTCATTTCACCACAGTGAGCTCTTTATATCCACTATGGCAAGGGCTCTCTCTCAATTCACCATACGCTTCCTCTCGATTCACCACTAACGACCTAGTAACCTCTCTGCCTCTCGCAGTCTCTCCAAAATTTGATAGCAGGTTCATCTCTCTGAATCTCTCTCTCTCTAATGGCCAACCTCGAAATTCTTAAATCTTTCATCTAACGCATTATGACATATATCTCTCGCTAACCTTGTGATTAAAGAGATAAAAGGAAATGGCTGCAAAAGTTAGATAGAGACTTATATTTAAGAGGGGGTGTGAGAGAGACTAATATGAGAGAGAGAGTCCTCAATGTAGTGAAGTGAGAGAGTGGGAGATGTAATGCATTGAGGGGCTGAAAAGGGCAAAAACATAATAATTTTTTTTTTTTTTACGTGGTGAATTGAGAGTGGGAGATATAATGGGGTTGAAAGAGAATGATGAAAATATTTGTTGGTTTTAGGTGGTATAAAATGGCTTATTGCGGTTAACTTTTATATTAAAAAATGAATAAAACAGAGAGATAAGAGATGAGGGGTTACGTTGAAATCTCTAGAGATTTTTTTATGTCGCTTGAAAGTAAAAAAAAGACGGTTTACCATGAAATGCGATGGGCAACTAGGGTTCCATACAAAATTTCCCTTTTTCTCAATTATAATCTTAAAAGGAAAAAGTTTATCCAAAGGTAGGGCCCTAAGCAATCAAATTAAGCCACACATCAAAAAATTCACTAAAAGAGATGGTTTTGATGCTGAAAAATCTTCAATTTGATCATCTTGACCATAGGCATAAGAAAAAATAGATTTCAAGTATTAAAAATAGTGAATCTTGTAATGTATTATTTACACTATCAATTTTCGATTTGCTCAATCTGTACTATTTTTGAATATTTAAAATTTGTGATTAGAGATAGAAAACAAATTTTTAGGGAATTGCAAAGAGTATTTATAGTTTTTATCAGTGTTTAAAAAAATGGATCGGTGACTCGAACAGGTCACACCCATACCCGGGTCAGATTGGTGAATGGATGGATAGGTTCGGATTTTTTTTCAAAAAATCACTATAAATGTCTAAAAGTAGTGTTCTTTTAGTTTCTAAAAGAAATTAAGAGTTATGCATTATGTACTTTCAATGCTTTGTAAAAATAGGTGAATACTGAGATGTTATTTTCCTATCTGGATGTCTGTATAATTATTAATTATAATGAGCATTATAATATTGCATCAAAATAATTTAAAATATTTAAAAACACTTCTATATTAAAAGATTAAAAACAATTCTTAAATAAAGTGAAATTAGTATCACGTCAAACATTTATTAATTCTCTTTACTCGGCTAAAATTATTACAACCTAACTAATTATAATATGGGAAAGTATATAATGAGATCATTTACCTTTTATATACGGTGGTCGTAATAATCTTGACCATTGGAAGTAAAGTTGGGTGGCTGCAATTATTCCATTGACCAGGTTCAAACTTCAAAAGAAATTTTCTCGAACTTTGTGACACATCCAAGCTATCAAATTTCACATCAAATGGTTGTAGGGAATTGTGACCACCTTATATAAAAGGTAAATGGTCTCATTGTATACAATCCCAATTAATATTATATATTGAAATTGAAATGAAAAGTTGGTTTATATTTTATAATTATTTTACTATAAATATGAGAACAAATCTAAAATATCATATAATATCATCTAATTTAAAAAATTTATTTACAACTATAAAAAATATTACGTAATTTATACTGCAAATAAATTCATAAATAATTATAAGATTTGGTTATCGATCTATAATTGTTAATTATAATATTATAATAAATATAATCAAAGAATTTTTATATTACAACTTAATACAATTCAAAATTATACTAAATTTTTTGCTGTATAAAATAAGTTATTGTAATAATAAGAAATTAACAATAACTTATTTGCTAATATTTGCAAAAAGGAAAAACTTTATATAAGGTTGCAACCTCAAAATGTAGAATTACATATGCACCTCGAAAATCCATCGGAAAAGGTTGTTTTAATGTTGCAAAAATCTCTAATTGATCATCTCGACATCGAGATGTATGAATTTGAAAAAAAAAAAAAGAGAAGATTTTTTAGTCTAAAAAATTGAGCATCTTCCAATGCATTATCTACATCGTCTATTTTCAAGATTTTCATATGTTTTAGATCTACTTAATTTTAACTATTTTTGAAGTTTAAAATTTTATAATTAGATATGAAAGTAGATTGAGATAAGGGAAATTCCTAAGAAATGTTTTACCAAAATTACATGTCATGATAAAATTTGGAGGTGTGCGTTAATTTGATTGTTTAAGGTTGCAACTTTATAGAAATCACACCCTTATAAAAAGTATAAATATATTTATTTAAAATTACAATCTAGATGGCAAACCATAATAAGTATGCAGTAGGTTTTTTTTTGGGTGCAGAGTTTACGTACGAACCCCAAAATTCTTTATTTTTTACCAAGTTTACCTCTGATTCAATTTTTTAAACATCATACCATTTTTTTTTCAAACATGGCCATATAAGAATTGGACCGTTTTTTTTTTTTTTCGAAAATACGGTCCAACGGTTCGAACATTGAACCGCCTTGTTTTCAATTGTTTTAAGTAAAACAAGCGGACCGCCTTCTTTTCAATTTGTTTTACACCCTTGCTGCATATCGTTTACATTATGTGTTACATCACCACCATCATCTCCACGCACTGCGGTTTGTGCTCTAAATTTTCGTAGAACTGTTGAGAGAAGAAGAAAATCGGATTCTTTTAAAGTGAGGGAAGCGATGGAGAGGGCGTATTCCGCATTGCTGAGAAAAGGAGAGCGATGGTGGGTGGAAGAGGCGTCTCTCTCTTTAAAGGTCTCTATGTAGAACAATGGCTCAATCTGGAATTTCACATGTATGATTTTGCTGTAATACACAGATTGGTCGTATGTTTTTGCAAAATCCAAAGAAGCCAATTTGCCCTTTGGGATTGGGGTTGTGGGTCTCATTCAAAAGCTGGGCTACTGTCTCAATGTTGACTGGGGTGGAGTGGCGAGTTTTTTGGGAGGGAGGGCGATGGAGCTCTTCTATGCTATGGAAAACAATAAATTTTGAGCCAATGTTGTTACGTATAACACTCACGCTATGCAAGGCCAATGGGGTGAAAGAAGCCTTGGAATTATTCAAAGATATGGGAAATTTCCTATGGTTTGATGCGGTCATCCGAACATTCCTTTTTTTTTAAAGTAAAACAAGCAATTCAATGTTTTAAATATCAGGCTGTTTTTTTTTTTTTTTCTAGCTAAATCAAGTGGTTTGATATTTGAATCATCGGACCACATTATTTAATTATAAAAATTCTGATTTTTAAATTTTTAACATCGGACTGCTTAAAAAAAAATATTAAACAGAAAGCAGTTTGATATTTAAACCATCGGACCGTCTTTTTTTAGCCAAAAAAAAAGAAAAAAGACTGTCCAATTCTTACACAGCCATATTTGGTAAAAAAAGAAGAAGCATTTCGATGTTTGAACAATCGGATTGGGGACAAACGTGACAAAAAAAAAAAATTCAAAAATCCTTCCTTCTAGAGCCTACTTTCGGACTATTCCGTTATAAAGATGAAAAAACCTGGTCTCCACATAATTTCCGGTGATTTTTTTGTCATGGAAGAAAGGGAAAATTGTCCTACATCCGAGAGTTATCTAAGCTTTCGAAGGCACACATTAAATGAAACCCTGGTAGGGGTAGAAATGGTTGGGGTGGCCAACGTACCGCCACGTGGTAACATATGGTGTTGTATGGCCCTCCGTATTACAAATCAGAACAATGAGTGATGTTAAAATGTTGACAGCCGAATCCTGTTTTTCGGTAGATTTAGTTAGTATCTTATTTTGATTGTTTATGACACCTTATACAATTTACACACTCTAAATTTTGCTAATTGTTAAGTATATATTTTTTTTGGATTTTGATATAAAGTGATCACAATTAATCTTGACCATTGAATATAAAATTGAGTGATTATAATTATTCCATTGATCAAACTTAAAGTTCAAAAAAAATTTTCTTAAACTTTATGACACATATCAGTTTTCACATCCAACTATTATAAATAATTGTGACCTCTGTG